ATAGGTCGATCTGGTATAAATCCAAACTAATACCTGTGCAAATGATTTATTACAATCATGTCCTTGTAGCACTAGAAACAGTGCTATAAATCATACTACACACTAATCTCATGCGGTCATTAGTCGTTCAACTTTCAAATGACCTCGATCAGAGATAATTTCGATATGATATTCAACGTTCACTTAATAGGTGTTTCTTTATCCAAGACATGGTCTTGATACCCTATTTTGAATGTTCAAATCGAATGGACTCATTATTTAATTCTAAACCACAATTAAATAGAAATAGAATAATAATTTACAGAAAAATTAAATTACTCCATAAATGAATGGTTTTAACATGGTGTTTTACATTAAGATCTCCACAACTTAATTAAAACACACAAACAGGGAAATCAAATCCAATCTCCAATGTGCCTGATTCCCATTGCCTCAACGTGCTTGTTGTGTTTCAGTTGAGGCAAAGGTTTAGTGAGTGGATCGGCTACATTGTCGTCCGTTCCAATCTTGCAAATTCTGATTTCACCCTTGGACTTCCATTCCCTTATCATGTGAAATCGCCTCATGACATGTTTGACTTTCTGATGCTCCCTTGGCTCCCTGGCCTGAGCAATAGCCCCACTGTTATCACCGTAGAGGTCTATTGGTCCCTTTATTGAGGGGACAACACCAAGTTCACTAACAAACTTACGAATCCAAACTGCCTCCTTAGCTGCTTCCGAAGCTGCCAAGTATTTGACTTCAGTTGTAAAGTCTATAGTCGTGCTTTGCTTAGCACTCTTCCAACGAAACGCTCCTCCATTAAGACAGACTACGTATCTTGATTGTGACTTGAAATCATCTTTGTCAGTCTGGAAGCTTGCGTCGGTATAACCTTCAACAACCAAATCCTTACTCCCACCATAGACCAGAAATTTATCCTTGTTCCTTTTTAGGTACTTTAGGATATTTTTGGACGCAGTCCAATGCGCCTCTCCTAGGACTGATTGGTATCGGCTCGTAGCACTTAAGGCATACGATACATCCGTCCTAGTACATATCATAGCATACATGATCGATCCAATAAGCGAAGCATATGGAATCAGACTCATCCTCTCTCGCTCATCAGGTATCTTCGGACACTATTTCTTGCTGAGAGTTATGCCATGTGACATGGGTAGGTGGCCTCTCTTGACTTCCTCCATGTTGAATCGTGCTTGTACCTTATAAATATAAGTACTTTGGCTCAATCCAATCATCCTTTTAGATTTATCCCGATAGATCTTGATGCCCAATATGTACTATGCCTCTCCCAAGTCCTTCATTGAAAAACACTTTCCAAGCCAAGCCTTTACAGACTCTAACATTGGAATTCTGTTTCTAATGAGCAATATGTCATCGACATATAAGACGAGGAATGCGATGTCACTCCCACTGACCTTCTTGTAAACACAAGACTCATCTGGATTCTTGATAAAACCAAACTCACTAATGGCTTCATTAAACCGCAGATTCCAATTCTTTAATCCATAAATGGATTTCTGAAGCTTGCATACCTTCCCAGCGTTATTTGGATCAGCATAACCTTCCGGCTCTGTAATGTACACAGTTTCTTCGAAAATCCCATTAAGGAAGGCGGTTTTGACATCCATTTGCCATATCTCATAATCATAATATGCGGCAATTACTAGGATAATCCAGACGGACTTAAGCATTGCGACTGGCGAAAAGGTTTCATCATAATCAATGCTGTGAATTTTCCTATAACCTTTTGCCACCAATCTAGCTTTGTATACATATACATTTCCATCTTTATCAGTTTTCAACTTAAAAATCCATTTGCAACCGATAGGTGTGTAACCTTCGGGCAAATCAACCAAGTCCTAGACTTGATTTTCAAACATGGAGTCCATCTCGGATTTCATGGCTTCTTGCCATTTTGCAGAGTCGGGGCTCCTCATAGCTTGTTTGTATGTCGCTGGCTCATCTCAATCCACAACTAGGATGTCTTGATCTTCGGTTAAGACGTACAACACCGAGTTATTTGTCTGGTTGAGATCTTGGCCTTTGCGACCTACGCAGGGTAATAGGTTGAGCATTTGCATTGTCATTTTGACTTTGCACATTGTCGGGTTGACTTTGACCAATGTCAACAGTTGCTTCTAAAGCACGTTGATTGTGAGTTTTGTCAGGTTGTCTTTGTTGCTCATCCTCTCGAATTTCATCAAGTTCGATTTTCCTCCCACTTGTCATTTTGGAAAGATACTCCGTTTCCAAAAAGACACCGTCTCGAGCTACAAATATTTTGTTCTCAGACTGGTTGTAAAAGTAATACCCCTTGGTTTCTTTTGGATAGCCCACAAAGAAACACTTATCAGATTTTGGTGCAAGCTTGTTAGATATGAGTCTTTTGACATATGCTTCGCAACCCCAAATCTTAAGAAAAGACAACCGTGGAGGTTTTTTCATCCATAATTTATATGGAGTCTTTTCGACAACATTTGACGGAGTGCGGTTCAGAGTGAGTTCCGCGGTTAAAAGTGCGTGTCCCCAGAAAGAGATAGGAAGATTGTTGAGACCCATCATTGATCGAACCATGTCTAACAGAATTCGATTTCTCCTTTCGGACACTTCATTCCATTGTGGAGTTCAAGGAGGTGTCAATTCTGAGAGAATACCATGTTCTTTCAAGTGATCGTCGAATTCGTAGCTTAAATACTTGCCACCTCGATCCGATCGAAGTGCTTTGATTTTCTTGCCAAGCTGATTTTTCACTTCACTCTGAAATTCTTTGAATTTCTCAAAAGATTCAGATTTGTGCGACATAAGGTAGACATAGGCATATCTACTAAAGTCGTCCGTGAAAGTGATAAAATAGCGATAACCATTTCTTGCGGTTGTGCTCATTGGTCCATATACATCCGTGTGTATAAGATCCAATCAGTCACTAGCCCTTTCTCCCAACTCGGAAAATGGTTGCTTTATCATCTTGCCTAGTAAGCATCCTTTGCAATTTTCAAACAACTCTAAGTCGAATGAATCAAGAATCCCTTCATGAAGAAGTTTCTTGATGCGTTTGATGTTAATGTGGCCAAGTTGACAATGCCACAAGTAGGTTTGATTCAACTCAATGGTCTTAGCTCTTCTGGTGGTATCATTAACATTTAAAACCTGTTTGTCTAGAAAAATCACATAAAGACCATTTTTTGAATGTGCCATACCATATAAAACATTATCAAGATAAAATGAACAACTATTGTCTTTTATCCAAAATTCAAATCCCTTGGCGTCCAATGCCGAAATTGAAATAATGTTTTTGGTTAGGATTGGAACATGATAGCAATGTTCAAGTTCTAAAACAAGCCCAGAGGACAAAGAGAAACTAAGTGTCCTAACGGATACGGCCGCGATCCTTGCTGCATTGTCGACCCGGAGTTCCACTTCTCCCTTCACTAACCTTTTACTTTTCCTTAGTCCCTGAGCGTTGGAACAAAGGTGTGAGCCACATCCGGTATCTAATACCCATGAAGCTTTGCTAGTAAAGTTAAGGTCTATAACATATATACATGATCCAAAAGCAACGGTGTCGTTCTTCTTATCCTTCTTGAATTTGAGGGCAATCCCGTTTGCAATGTCCCTTCTTCTTACAGTAGAAACATTCGGAATTGGATTGAGAAGAGGCTACCTTCTTATCCTTGTTGCCCTTGGTAGCTCTTGACTTAGGCGGAAAGGTCTTCTTACCCTTCCCCTTATAGCCTTTCTTCTTGCCCGAGCGCTTGAACGGCTTGCCCTTCTTGACCATTAGCATATCATGCTTCCCCTCATCCTAGAGCGTTTGCTCAGCTTGCTCCAACATTCCATGAAACTCGGTGAGGGTTTTCTCCATGCTGTGCATATTATAGTTCATCTTGAACTGATCATAACCTTTATGCAGCGAGTGGAGAATAATCTAATCATTTTAAGTACATGTGGGCTGACCGACTCTCCTTTCTGAGCTTGCTCTCAAGGATCTGCCTATGGGTCTCAAACCGCTCAGTTCAGGCCTGCTCTTGGAACATATTTTGAAGTTCAGAAATGATCTCAAAAGCCGTCTCCTTTCCAAAGAAGGTCTTTTGGGATCCGGAGACATTGTGGCCAACATGATGCATTTGACATCCTGATTGGCAGCGTGCCATCGGTTTCGGGCAGCTTGAGTGACCTCCTCATCAGGAGCGTCGGGAATTTCCTCATCAAGGACATATTCATTTTGCTCTTACATAAGAACTATACGCAAGTTCCTTTTCCAATCAAGGAAGTTTGTCCCATTCAACTTCTCCTTATCAAGAATAGAACGGAGTGAATGTTGTTAGTATTAGTTGTAGACATGATTCTTCAATTGAAAGAATTTGCAATGAAAAACCATTCATAAACTAATAAGTTTGAAATTTAAAGCGTACATGCAAATTTTTAATCTTATTGAGCATTTTATCCACACATTTAAAATTGTCCCATTTAGGCGAGAATAATACGATTCCAAGACCTCAAAAATCAAAAAGTGATTAAGCATGCTTTGGCTTGTCTTAACACTTAATATTTTAAGGTAAGCAATCCAATTGCTAATAGCTCTAAGCTACTCTTGGTTCGATAAAACGTCGCATCTAATGCTTTCTTGACGTTCTATCTCCATTGCCATGACATCTAAGGACTCCTTACTGATATCGTTGAGTCTAACCAAAACTAATGTGTATGCGATGCCTTGCTTTGGCAAGCGCATTAACATACCTTAATTTCTTAGGAAAGTAGTAATGACGTAATTTGGCACAACCCATTACTATTCTCATTAGTTCCGTAAGTGTCATTTTGGAATGGCAAATTTAACTCAATTTTCTTTGGGACTTATGGTTTCTATGTTGGTTGATTTAAGTGAACTTAACTAATCATTCAACATTTGAAATCCTAAACATGCATCTAACATCGCAATTAAATAAGCAAAATATATAAAGGGATATTTTGGATTTTAACACCTTACAAAAGGCTGAAAATGTTTTTTAACACCCCCCAAAAAAAAACTTTTATTTTAACACCTCCCAAAAATATAAAAGTTGGAAGTTAACACCAAAATCCATCTTCCGTTAACAGAACTGTTAGTGGGGCCCACCCCAACGGATATATTTTTAAAAGATCTGTATATAAGAACCATTCTTCCACGATTCTTGCACGATATATAAGAACCATTCTTGCACGATTCTCCCCCAATGAACGAAATCGTTGTTCTTATTGAATAGCAGCAGCGCATTGCATTGTTGCACGATACTTGAAACAATTCTTTCACGATTCTTCCACGATTTTTGAGAAGAGGAACAGATTGAAGCTGCTGAAACAGGTGAGTGCGGTCAATTGTTCGGTTGTTTGGTAATTATGGTTTAAATTCTCTTCAATTATTATTTGCAATTGTTTCGTACTCAGATTAATGGTTGGATTATGTTATGTACGCATCTAAATGCCCAATTGCGAAATTAGGGTTCGTCAGAAATTGAATTTGGGGCTTTTCGTATTATGAAATTAAAAATGAATTTTGTTGCTGTCAATGTTAATTCGTCAGTGTACAAATCTGTAAATGTGACTGTCGATCTAAAATTGATGCAGATTATGTCGTTTGTTAGCTCTTCCCCTCCTGAGGCCAGAAAATGTAAGTGTGGTGTGCCAATGGCCAAGCTCACTAGCTGGACAAGGGAGAATCCAGGCAGGAAGTTCATATCATGTAAGTTTTATGACCCAATAACAGAAACAAGGGGTTGCAAAGCTTTCGAATGGGTTGATCAACCTGATGGAACAGATTGGCAAACAGGGGTTATCAACAACCTGTTGTTGGATAAGAAGCTGCTAAAGGGTGAAGTTAATGAATTGAAAAGGGAAGTTGATGAAATCAGTGGCCAAAGGAGGTGCCTACTTAATGAAGTTGATAATTTGAAGATGAGATGCAAGGCCTTGAACGCTGACAGGAAGAGAATGAACAGGGAGTGCAATGAAGGGAAGGTGTCTTCAATCAGCTGTTTTGGTTGGGTGGGCATGGCCATTTGTATAGGTTTGTCAATGGGTGTAATTTTCCTAATGGCTAGAGGTGTGTAATAGTAAGCTGTATTAAGTAGTTATAATTTCTTGTAATGACTTGAAGTGTTATAAATATGTCTTTTAATCAACCTATTTATGCCTTGTCTAAGTTCCTATTTATGCCTTGTCTTTTAATCAACCTATTTAAACATGTGAAACATTAAAACATGGGAAATATGTGAAACACTAAGATAGTTCAAGTACAGGTTGACAAAAGAACCTTACTTCAACATGTTTCAATGGCAATCAAAGCCATGCAACCATTACAATTCAATATCTAATTGTTCAAATTTGTTAAGGGAAGCCACTAAAAAACTAGCAAGTTACATAACCAGTCATGAGTACATAATAAAAGTTTGAAATTGTTCAACAGACATAATGTTTGATATCCAGCATGAGTACATCACTGAGTAAGGTTGTTGAGGGATTGCAGCCTGGCCCTTGTTACAACACCTGTGGCTGTTGTAGGCTGACTTGAGGAAGACCTTGTCTTTCTTTTTGGTTGGCTTGAGGCAGGCTGACTTGAGGAAGGCTGAGCTGAGGATGGCTGACTAGAGGATGGCTGAGCTGAGGAATGCTTAGCTGAGGAAGACTGTGGCTGTGGGCGCTTGCTGAATGGCAGACAACCTTCTTGCTCTTGAGGAAACTTTTTGTTTCCTATGCTGTTTGGTCCAGCCCCAATTGCACTCTATGACATGCATATAAAAATAAAAAGTCAATGGAAAAGACACATACATATATAAAACAAAGGGGGAGTTGGTGTAATGCTTGTGTTACCTTTTTAGCAGCCCTAATCTCTTTCTTCTTCCTCTCCTCCACCATCCAAGGAGTGTTCAGTGGGGGTCTGCCTGCTGACTTTATCAGCTCTGTAGCTGGTGCAGCAGGTACTTTGCAAGTCTTGGCATAATGCCTATATCCCCCACAGTTGCTGCATTGCTTCTTCCTCTTGGTACTTGCCTGACCACCTGAAGAAGAACATTCTCCTGGCTCAAGCTTCCTTTTTTTGCTCTTTGGTCTCCCAGGTTGCACCTTAACAGAAGGGGGTAGTGGTTCCCTCATTCTGACTCTCTCCCAGTGCTTTGGGCCAGGCATTGGTTGGACAGCTGGTTCATAAGCAGACCTGTATGTGTCCATGGTATAGTATGGGTCAACAACAGCCTCTATGTCACCCCTCATATCCAATATGCAGGCATAAGCATGAACACATGGAATGCCAGTGAGTTCCCAATGGTAACATGTGCAGGTCTCCTTGTCCAAATCAACCAACACCTGGTCATCCTTCAGCTGCACCTCAAATGTATTCCCTCTGGATGGCTGCACCACACAGGACCTAGCCACAAAGTCTATCCTCCCCAGAACATGCCTCACATATGGCACTAAGTTGTGTGTAATTGTTTTTGAATCCTCCCACTTTTCATTATTCCTGTTCATAATATACCTCCTCATCCATTCCATTTGGGTGAGGATAGGTTTATCTCTGGCAGGCCTAATGACTGCATTGAAAGTCTCACACATGTTGTTCAACAACATGTTGGACTTGCAGTTTGGTGTGAATGCATGTCTAGACCAATGGTGGGGAGGAATGTTGATTAAATACTCATATGCCTCTTCATCGAGGAATTTGATAGACTCCATGGCAATTTCATGCTCAAACTGACATATAAAAGCATACCAGAAATCACACCAAGCATATACAAGCTAACCAATATAAAAACACACCAACAGTCATATAAAAGCATAGGCTAGCTTCAACAATCAATAAACTTACAATGGTGGTGGCCCTAGCTGCTCTCCAAAACAGCTCCTTAAAGGTTGATCCAGTGAAGTTGAGCTTGAAGTTAGCCCAAATATGCCTCACACAAAACCTTTGCTCAGCTTTGGGAATAACATCAGCCATTGCTTTAATCAAACCCTACCAAATGCAGACAAAAGTATAATCATCAGTCAATCACATACATACACATGAAAACTTAGAAATTGAACCTAAATAGTTAAGAGGGAAACAGAAGCATTACCTTTTGCCTGTCAGACATGATGGTCAGCCCAGCTCCTTGATCATGTGTGAACATTGACATAAGGGATTCCAAGAACCAACCCCAAGTTTCCTGGTTTTCAATCTCCACTGTGGCCCAAGCTAGAGGAAACAAGTTGTTATTCCCATCCTTAGCAACTGCCACCAGAATTTGCCCAGGAAAGGCACCCTTGAGGTGACAACCATCCAACCCTATTAAAGGCCTACAACCCTTTGCAAATCCATCTCTCAATGGCCTTAAACAGATGAACATCCTCATGAACAATGGTGGCTCTGGCCTGTCAATACCATCAACAACAACATTGCACCCTGAACCAGGGTTGTACTTCATCACAGCTTTCCCATAATCCCACACCCTAGCATACTGCTCCCTAGCTGAACCAAATATCAGTAGTTTTGCCCTACACCTAGCTAGCCATGCCTTATAGTAACTCACATCAACTCCTAAATCATTCAAAATCCTAGCCCTAATCTCCTTAATTCTCCAACCAGGGTTACTCCTAAACTCTTCTAAATACCTCTCTGCTATGTATTCAGCAGTAAGCATCTTGTTCTTCTTTACTCTGAAGCAGGAATGGTCTAAATTCAAGGTTTTGATTTGCCAAGTTTGCTGCTTAACAAGTTTTGATGCAAACACCTTGAACTGACACTTTACCCCCCCCACACATGTACAAGCAGGCATTCTACAAGTGTAGCTATTGAACTCACAGCCACATCTATATCTACACTGAACTGTAATCCTTTTACTGTCATTATGCAAGTAGTAGAACTCATACCTGTTTTGAATGGCATGAAGTCTTAAGGCCCTCCTCAAGACTGAAGCATTACTGAATTTCTGATTTAACTTCAACTTGATTGGGTTGTCAAAGTCCACATCAGCATTAAACCAAGGAGCATAGTCCTGTTCCTCATCAGATCCACACAAACTCCTTGAATCATCTGAATCAGCATCACTTTCTGGATTCACCTTCGGTTTTCCAACATCCAAATCATTTCTCAACTCTACTCTCTTATCTTTGCCAACCCTGTCATCTACTGCACTCTCCAAACCTTTCCTAAGGCTCTTGTTCACTTTGGCCAAGATCTCCTTTGACCCTTCAATATACCATTCCTCATCCCCTTCATCAAATTCTTCTTCACCAGGTTCCCAATCTTGTCCCTCATCACTCAAATCTGAACTTGAATAACCAGATCCTTCACATCCATCATCCTTTTCTTCATCAAACCTCAACACTTTAGCATTAGCTGAGGCTTTCCTAGGTGGACTCTCCTCCCTTTGTTCAGTTTCTGTCTTCTTAAACCTAGGGCTCCTCCTAATAGTCGATGTATTTGAACTTTCTACCTTCTTATCCTTTTTTTTTGTCTTTGCAGGATTGGGTTGGGCCTCTTGTATGGGCTGACTAGGAGCTTCTGTTGTTACAAAAACCTCAACATACCCCTCTTCATTTACTGTCTCCAAAAGGCCCTTAACCTCTTCACTGTTAACTAGTTCCCTTTTCCCAGTGTTAAAGGTTTTCCCCTTCTGCCTATACCAACAGCTGTAATGCATAGGCACATCCATATCACCATTAACAAAACCATGAATTGCAGCTGTTCTAATCAAATGCACATCCAACTTAGATACTTGAACCTTCCTCTTCCAGTAACACCAACCACCACACCAACACAGCAGCTGCCTGTTTTTGGTTACTCTTTTAGGGACAAAAGCACCTCCCACTCTAAGGCAGATGTCAACCAAACTATCCTTGTCACCCATTATCTACCCACCAGTGAAAAACATATAAAACATATTAAAAGCCATGTAACTATACATGCACAATACGAATAAACAAATCCATCACAGCCACACAAACAAACACATAAAAAAATTGAAAATAAACATATACAAGCCAATGTAGGTGCTCAGTAACATAAATTAATCAACAAACCACACTTGCTAGTTTAATTAACAATAAACCACCTTAATTAATCTCTACTTTCAATTACGAAATCCAATTAACCTAAGTCGCATAGTCAGTTACAGAAATTGATTTATCAAGGCTTTCCTACTGTGGTCCCAAAATTTACCCTAATTACCCAATTATTGCAAGGTTTACAGCAATGAAGCACCAGTAATTGACGAAATTGCTATCAAAGGAGAGCAATTTTACCTTATTTTCTGTGAATTTCAAGCGGCTTTCGCACTTTTGTAGTTGAAGAAGATGATGAAGAAACCCTCCTGAGCTTATCTTCTCCAACGTTGACACCACCCTACACTCCACTTCTCAGCCAAGATCTCCTTTGGTTCAAAAGCGAAATCAATGAAGGTTCAGAAAGAATTCAATGCAGAAGGTTGCTGCGAATTCAATGAAGAAAGAAGTTTCGTGTTTTGCTGGGTGAAAATTGAAGTTCAAGCCAATTTGTGGGACCCACGTTAAATTTCCGTGACGGAAATCGTTAACTGGTGTTAACTTCCAACTTTTATATTTTTGGGAGGTGTTAAAATAAAAGTTTTTTTTTGGGGGGTGTTAAAAAACATTTTCAGCCTTTTGTAAGGTGTTAAAATCCAAAATATCCAATAAAAAGCATAATAAAGATGCATTTGACAACTAGCATGACCCCTTGAACTTGAGTCTTCAAATCTTCAAGGGCCTTCATTGCATCCTCTTGGCTCGTCTTTTTAGAAACGCCGTCTTCGAGACATCACCACCAAATATGCAACTACTATTAAGACTAGGACTAATATAAATATTAAGGTACAAAAATACGCAACAGTATGCAGACCGTATTGTGATTTACAAAAATACAAAACGAAGCGCAGTCCGTATTTACTATCCTAGTCGGGCCCCACTAGTTGCTATTTTGTAATACCTACATTAAAATATCTATTCCATTCATCCATTCACCAACGTGAATGGCCCATGCATTTTACAAATAATTCAAGCAATAATGCAAAACACGCGCAAACTAGTAACTAACTTAGGTGGTTCATCCAATTAACGCGCCTAATTAAAACTAGTCAAGGTTGTTAACCGATTATGTGATTAAATGCAATAAAATTAGCTCAAATAATTAATGAAGCTCCCACTAAATTTCGCATCCAACTTAATTAAAATTAATCCAATTAATTTAATTAAACCGGTTAACCTAAAGTTTGCCAAAATTATTTTGCAAGTGCCGGGAAAAATCGAGGCCTAGCCTCGTTTTAATAATTAAATAAAATAATTAAAACGGAAAAAATCGCAAAAATTACATCGCCCTACGATGCTCGAGTGCCTAGCACCAAGCAACCAGGCTTGGTTTGCTAGGCCCGAGGCTCGACTCCCTTGAGTTGCTGATTCCCCTCGCACATCCACTTGCTACGCCAAGCATGTGCATGTGTCTGACAGCATTGCACAAATGCTGGCCATACTAGCATGCTTGCGTGCAACATGTGAGGGCCTCAAAGGCCTGCTCTTGAGCGAGGCGCACGCTGCCTAACAGCCGCAAGCCACAGCCCATGCAAGGGCCCTTCGCAGCACCAAAGCTCGCACACCGTAGCCCACGTATCGCACCAATGCTGCACCAAGCGCACCAGTACTCGCACACACACGCACTCACGCACACATCGATGCACCAGCCCCGCACTCCTCGGCAGCCACATACGGGCTGCGCCTCGATATGCTTGGGGCTTCGTGCCTCGATTTGCGTGCTTGTGCCTCGGGAGTATATCCCAATTTTTGTGTGATATAAAATTAATTCTAAATTATTTTTAGAACTAATACTGAGCAAATGAAAATAAAGCAAGTCCAACTTAAATAAATTCAATTTTTAGTGCACAAACCAAAATTAATTCTAGAACCATTCTTTAAATTATTTTTGGCTCAACTTGATGCTACAAAAATTGAGGGATATTCTCACAATTAATCTAACCAAACATAAATTAATAATGAGATTTGACAAAATAAAAGGAGTTGTAAAAATAGACACAATCATCCAATGAAAATTTTTCCAACACTAACTTTTGTAAACTTGAAAAATAACATCCTTCAAATAAAAAATGATTAAAATAAAAAATTAGTTCAACATGGAATTTAGAAAGTTAAGTTCCAACCAAATAAACAATTAAAGATTGGATCTTTAACATTTTAGGGGCTTCAAAAATACTTCACCATAAACATTCACACTTAAAGCAATTAATTTGCAAAAATGTGAAATTGCAAGTTTATGTGAAAAATGAGCTCACAAAATTAAGCACCAAATATGACTTCATAAATATGCTTAATAAGGGTTATTATTGCAGTAGACTAATGGTGTAACCATACACATAATCTAACATTAACATGCCATACTTAATCAAGCTTTAAAGATTTTAAATTTTTCGTCAAAAACGAAAAACCCCTCAAAAAACATGTTTCTGGGTCGATTTTGGCTTCTGGAGCTTCCACATAGTGTTTCAAAAACGATTTAGAACATCGATTCCACCAAAAATTCATTAGTCATGGGTCGAAATCTAGGTTCTTTAGCCAAAATTAGTATAAATACAAGATTAAAACTAATTAAAACGAGCTTCTAATCCAATTAGAAAGAAAAAACAGAAATTTAAATCCATTTAAATCACCTTAATTAATTATTAGTTACAATAATTAAATGTACGCGGCTCCGGTACCGCTGTTGGGTTTCGTGATGTCCAACATCACGCGGAACGAAACCCGCCCAAAATCCGCACACAAATCAAAGTAACTAAGCATATATTAAAACCATAATCACATAATTAACAAGAGGAGAGAGAAAGAATCATTACCCTTTATGCGTGCTTCGCTCTCACTTAGAGCTCGGACTTGAAAGTGTAGAGTACCGCAAATGCGCGAACGTCCGACGGCTAACACCCTCGCTCCCCGAACTGACCCGGCCCTTACCCCGAAGCTTAGTCAAGGCTAGGCCAAAAATAACTTAGAGTATTAGAACGAAGGTTTTCTCTTCTTGGAGATCCCTTCAAGTTCCCAACTCGAGTGTTCCTTCCCAATGCCAAATGATTGGTATTTCTAGGGAAAGGAACCCTTGAAATCTCATCTCCCATCAATGTGGGAGAGTTGGAAAAAATGCAAAATGGAATTTAATTTAATTCTAAATTAAATTAAGGCCAAATCAGAAAATATCACCCAATAAAAACCCCGATTTAGATAATAACACCTATAAAAAAAAAGTTTTATTATAACACCACAAAAAATCCCAAAATTTTGGTTTCACCACCCACTAACGGATTTTTGGATGGAAACCGTTAGTGGGGCCCACAAGGGCACGTGTCAATAAGGTATTGGCAAAAAAAAAGGTAAAATAAAAAAAAAAGTAAAATTAAAAAAAAAAAAGAAAAGAAAAACCCTTAAACCCTAACCCAGCCACCAGCCCCACCACCGCGACCGTCACTCCACCGCCGGAGACCCCCACTGTCGCCGGAACACCTTCCTTCACTGGCGCAACATCACCACCACCGTCGCCCCATCACCACAGCAACTGTCGAAGCGCCGAAATCCAAGCCCCATCACCAACCCTAACCCACTAGTTGGAGAAAACCACGCCCAATTCCATCCGTAGCCCTGCCAGATCTAGTTGCGACCTCTCCCCTTGCAGGCGACGCGAAACCACGAACCTTAAACCAGTGAAAAGGATTGTTGGTGGCTGGTGTGGTTTCGACAGAGATTGGGAAAAAGAGTGGTGGTGGCGACTTTTCCTTTTCGTCGGTGTAGGGATTGTGGTTTCTACGGTAAAGGAGGGGCTGTGGTGGGTGGGGTTGATGGCCAGTGATTTCGCCGGTGAAGGAAAGGGTTATGGCGGCACTTGGGGTCTTCGGCGGTGGAGTCACTGCAGCCGGTGGCTGGGTTAGGGTTTAGGGGTTTTTCTCTTTTTTTTTTTGTATTTTTTTAAAACCAATAAACAACTGACACGTGTCCCTAGTGGGCCCCACTAACGGTTTCCATCCAAAAATCCGTTAGTGGGTGGTGAAACCAAAATTTTGGGATTTTTGGTGGTGTTATAATAAAACTCTTTTTTTTACAGGTGTTATTATCAAAATCGGGGTTTTATTGGGTGTTATTTTCTAATTTGGCCTTAAATTAAATATCCAAATGAATCACTAAACGACAAGTGGCAAGGGGAGAGCAAGTGGTTAGGTAAGGACCACAAGGGGGGGACCATCCTCCCTTGCTCCCGAAGCAAACTCTCACAATCGGTCCTCACACACAATGCACCACTCACGGTGCACCAGCTAGGCGTGGCCTGCCTTGGGCGCCAAGGCTGTCTTGCTGGCAGCCTGGCCCCTTGGCTGGGCGTGCCAGCTGGTCGCATGTGCTGGCTGCCCAGCAAGCACACCACGCATGCATGCGGGCTGCTGTTAGGCGTGCTGGCGTTGCTACCGCAAGCTTTTGCGAGCTAGTGCTGTTGCGCTGCTATCGCTAGCATTGCCTAGCTAGCTACTGCTATCATTTGCAAGGCACAACAAGCATTTGCGTGCTGCTGGCCTTGCTAGCGATGGTGTGGCTGGTGCTAGCACGCTAGCATGCGCGCCAGCAATGCTACCCATGCTACGCCAGCTAGCATGCTAGCTAACTCGACATTCCGCAGCCTTGCTAGCCATATTGTTCTAGCAATGACTTGTCGTTTGGTCGATTTTTTTCATCTCATCGATTCCAAAATTCGACTCGACTTACGACGCTCGATTTTGACGCTCTAAGCTCGTAATATGACGTCTTTGTTCGTAAATACTCTATTAACTCATTTGATCCTTAGGATTAATTCGTC